GCTGAGCCTGAACTTGGCCTGAGCAGCCCCCTCCACCTGCCCTGGTGTGGGCCCGGGTGACGAGGAGGAGCATTGCCGGCATGTAGGACAGGTGGAGGTGGCGGGACTGCAGTGAGGGTGGCACGAGGGACCCCGTCTGTGGGCTCCCTTCCATCTGGGACCCCAGCCTGAGCTGTCCTGCCAGGTTCAACAGCGAGGACGTCTGCACCTGCCCGCAGGCCTCCGTGCCTCAGCAGTTCGCCTCCGTGCCCTGGAACTCCTTCACCCGCGACACGCTCAAGGCCCTGTACGGCTTCGCGCCCATCTCCATGCACTGCAACAAGTCCTCCGCCGTCCGCTTCCAGGTGCGCCCCGCCCTGTGCGTGTGCAGAGGACTCCGCGGGGTAGCCCGCGGGACTGCAAAGACACAGGGACTGCCCCCCTCCACCCAGTGACAAGTCCTGCAGCTTCTCCAACCTGCCCTGGGTCATGGGGGACCCCAGTGGGGGTAACAGGGCCGCAAGTGCAGAGGATAGAGCAAACGTCCAGGCGGTGACAGACATTCCAGACAGACAGATGGATATTGCCGAGGGAGACTCTGATAACACTTCTGCTGGGAAGGGTGGATGCCTTTCCTGCCCTGGCCAGGGCTCACCACGGGATGCTGGTGGTGTGAGCAGAGGCCAGTTGGCCCTCAGAGCCTAAAAACAAAGTCCCAGGGGAGGGAAGGTCAGAAACCAAACAGTCAAAGCTATGAGCAGGTCGGTTCTTCTCTGAGACCAACTGGGACTCAAAGACATCTCATCTACCCCCCAGAGAGGGCGCTGCTGGTCAGGGGGCTCAGGCCGCGGCTCACAGAAGGCGCTGTCATCCAGGGTGCTCCTAGGAGCCTCTGGAGCAGGGCTAGTCGCTAGATCAAACATTCCCGGCAGCGAGCGAGAGCTAACGGTGTCTCATCTGAGCGTGGCTGGGTGGCTGTCAGGTGGGTGGTAATGGCATTGATGCAGCCTTGTGGGGAGAGCTGACTGGAAAAGTTGGCCAGTTCCCGAGGCACTCACCCCTGCAGTGGGGTGCGCGAGCGCACCGAGCCTGCACCCGGGTCTGACGCTGCAGTGGGGTGAGTGATAGCACTGAGCCCACACCGGGGTCTGACGCCGCAGTGGGGTGAGTGATCGCACTGAGCCCACACCAGGGTCTGACGCTGCAGTGGGGTGAGTGATCGCACTGAGCCCACACCGGGGTCTGACGCTGCAGTGGGGTGAGTGATCGCACTGAGCCCACACCGGGGTCTGACGCTGCAGTGGGGTGAGTGATTGCACTGAGCCCGCACCGCGGTCTGACGCTGCAGGGGGGTACATGATTGCACTGAGCCCGCACCCGGGTCTGACGCTGCAGCGGGGTGCACGATTTCACTGAGCCCACACCCGGGGTGACACTGCAGCGGGGTGCACGATTGTACTGAGCCCACACCGGGGTCTGACGCTGCAGGGGGGTACATGATTGCACTGAGCCCACACCCGGGGTCTGACGCTGTGGCGGGGTGAGTGATCACACTGAGCCTGCACCCGGGTCTGACGCTGTGGCGGGGTGCGCGATCGCGCTGAGCCTGTGCAATCACACTGGGGTAGCAGGGGGCGAGGGTGGGAGGCCTGGATGATTCCCAGGTTCCTGATAAGGAAACTGAGTAGTTGGGGGGTGAGGGCATGTACTGAGGTGGGGATCCCCAGGGAGCAACTTGGGGGAGTTGTTCGGAGCAGGGGACATTTAAGGGCAAGAACCCGAGAGGCTGGAGAAAGTGGGTGGAAAGGTGACCCCTGTCTCCCCCAGCCTGCTCACCTCCCGGTCCTCCCTTGCAGGGCGAGTGGAACCTGCAGCCCCTGCCTGAGATCACTGCCACACTAGAAGAGCCTGCCCCACAATGCCCCCCTCGCCAGAGTCAGAGCCCCGCTGGCCCCGCCGTGGTCAGCTTTGGCAGGGGCAGAAGCTGAACGGGGTCTGCTCCTCACCCCTCCTCCAAGCTGCTCCCTCGGGCTCACGCCAGCTCTATGTGAAGACCCCCAGGGGACAGCCCCATGTGTCTGGCATGACGAGGCCAGACCAGGCTCCTCTTGACACCTTGGCCCCACCTGATGCCCCTGCATGGCTGCAACGATCCCATGAGAGCCCCCTGTTGACCTAGCCTGGACTGGGTGGACCCGACCTCATCTGCACCCATTGGCTCTGTGTGAAGATCCGGGGCATGGCCAGCCCTGCCCCACCTCGCCAGCAGGGCCTGTCCTAGGACCGCAGCCGGGCGGCGGGCACAGACTCAGTGAGGGCGACTGTCGGTGTGCGGTGCCAGCCCTGTGTTTGATTCTCTGCGAGCGGCTCGTGTCTCCTGGTGGGCGGCTTCCCTGCCAGCGGGGGCAGGACGGGCACTTAGCTAGTTAGAGACCTGCCTGGGGAAATTGCTCCATGCACAGTAAATAGATATTTTCGCCCACCTAAAGGGAAACCCCAACAACTATCTGCACCACCGAAAGGCGACAGCGAACCTCGGGGTGAGAGCTGGCGCAGCTCCCGGGGGAAGGGAATTCCTCCAGTCAGGTTGCTTCTCCCGGGTGGACCTGGCGCTGAATAGGCCAGGCTCTGGAGTCCTACCGATTAAAAGATCTGTCCTGCCACGTGGCGGAGGTGTGTCCTGGGCAGGCTGTTTTGCCTGCCTGACCCTTACCGTCCTCATCCATGAGATGGCGCTAGTGAGCAGCGTGTTTGCCCGTGGGGCAGCACCCGCTGAAGGACGCCCACGAAGCTCACACTGGGCCCCTCTAGGTGCCAAAGCCAGGGCCTGCACCCAGCCGGAGCCTGCCCTGGGCTGGCTGGGCCACTCCCCCTTCCTCCCTGAGCTGCCTCGCACGTCAAGGCAGGTCCAGCTCGCTAATGGCTTCTGGAAGGAGTAACGGATCGGCCGTGCTCAGCCAGCTCAGCAAATGCCCAGGTCTGGGGGAGACGGGGTGATGGATGGGCGTGCGGGCCCCTCCCCCAGCAGACACGGCTCTGCGGCAGCCTCTCCCTTGTTAGCAGAGCTGCCTCATCACAGGCGGGCATTCATGCAGACGTTCTGCACGGCACCGTGTAAGTCACCGCCCGTAAGTCACAAGGCGTGATTGCTGTGAACGCCAGCTCGGCCCTCGGTCAGCTTTACTACCTTGGTGACGGATGGAGGGAGGTCCTTCCCAGTGGGGTGGGCCCAGTGCCGGTCTTGGTCTTCTGGCTCAAAAAGCCCCTTCCCTCTGATCGAGCCTGGTCGCCAACCCAGAGGAGGGCCCTAGGCAGCCCTGGGAGCCGCCTCGGCCACGGTCCCCATGTACTCCCAGGGCAGCCCAGGGAGCCTGCGAGGGAGATTTGTGGGCTGCGAGCAAGCCTGCCCCCCAGCTGCAATCACCCGGCTCCCCAAGTGCCTAGGAGGCACTCACGGCATGCTATCCTCACGGATGAAGGAATCCGGGGTCCCCAAGGTGATCCATGATGGGGCATCACAGCAGTTCCAGAAGCTCTTACCGCCCTCAACGGCACACCCTGGCCCACCTGCCCCGCCCCCCGCCCCTGTGCAGCTGGGGGCTCCCACCCTGCTCAGATCCCTTAGCCCCTGCCCCGCCCGGTGCAGCCTGGTGTCTCCAGTAGCTGCTTCCGTGCTCACTGGTCTGGGCCAGCCTAGCACAGCCATGAAGCTGCCGCTGCTTTCCCATGATGGAAGGGAAGACCGAGGCTGCCAGCTTCCACGTCCTCACTTAGGAAATGGCAGTTTCCCCGGGACCCTTGGGGGGATGATACAGGACATGGCAGAAGGACCTGGCCACTTGAACTAGCTGTGGAGGAGGTGCTGCCTCGGCCGCGGCCCCCATGTGCTCCATGCCCTGCTCAGGCTCACCCGTCTGATTAATTGCTGGGGTGCCACAGGAACCGGCACGTGAGTCTAGCAGCCAGGTTCCGTTTCTACTCTGCTGGGTGGCTCTGGGTGAGGTGCTCTCCCTCCGAGCCCGGGTCTCCCACCCACTGAGAGGGGTTCGCCAGCCTCCCAGGTGTGGGAGCTGCTAGGGTGATGTGGCCCATCAGAGCCGCAGTGAGCTCAGTATTGAGAGGGCCCCTGTGGGAGCGTGCGGGCAAGCTGGGCCAGGGCTCCAGCAGGGTGTCCGTCTGCCTGCACTGGCCTCAAGACGCCCGAGGCTGTGCCGTCTGGTGGCTGCCAGCCTCACGTGGCTACGTCAGCTTAATTGTAAGTCAGTGCAAGTGACACGAGAGACTTTCGGTTTCCTGGCTGCACCGCAGCTGTCAGGCTCACAGGCTGCGGTGGGTATGGCTACCGTGCCGGGTGGTGCCAACGCAGAGCACCCCCACCACACAGGGCGCCACAGGTCAGCCATGGCCATGTGGTGGGGACTGGGCCCCATATTCACCCTCCCGCTCTAGGGCTCTCCCCGGCGAGCCCCCCAGGCCTGACTGTGGCGTGCTCTGGACAGAAGCTGCCTGACAGTGCAGAGATGCAGGGGTTATGCATAGTGCATTTAGGCAGGACCAGCCTGCAGGATTCGGGTTGTCCTTGGGATGCAGCAGGTGTAACGTCCTCAGCCCCTGTGAGTGTCAGCAGAAACCCCCCAGCCATGTGCCCACCAAAAATGCCCCCCAAGGCTTCTGCATGCCTGGCCAAGAACAGGCCAGGGACAGAGACACTGCCTCCCGCCTCCCCGCCTCCCGGCTGCGGCCAGTCGCTGTCCCCGGGTCCCAGCCACAGACCGTCGAGCAGGTAGAGAAACTGAGTCCCAGGATCCCTGGGTGCTCCCACCTTCTCCCGGCTCCACTGCAGACACCCAGCTTCCCTTTCTCAAAAAGCATCCCCTTTCAACACTCCTCTGGACAGAGCCTGAGCTGGGATGACCAGGAGCTCCCTGGAACCTGCAGGTTCTGTCCTCACCTGTCTCCTTGGCCTCCCCCACCCAACACACATGCAGCACACACACGCGCGCGCACACACACACATGCATATACACACACATGCACACACACGTACACACACACATGCACATACACACATACACACACACTGCACAGTGGCCTGCCTGCTCCAAGTTTCCCTAATGAAAGGAGGCCCACTTGGAACCAGCAATTAGCGTAATGGCTATGTCGCTGGACTCCCACGTAGTCGACCGCGGTTCGTGTCCCGGACCTGGTGGCTTAAAACTCACGCTGGGCGCGTGTGCGTGCGTGCCCAAGATCCCAAGAGGAGAATGGAGGAGAAGGGATTGCGGCGTGACCATCCCCCTGGAGGGGTGATTTCTCGCTTTCTGTCTCTATGTCTCTCTCTGTCTGTCTGGCAAGCGCACGCGCCCTATAGTGAAAATCTCTAAAAAAAAAAAAAAGGAGGCCCACTAAGTCCTGTGAACCCCAGGCCAGAACTTTCTGCTTTTTCTGCAAGATCCCTAATGGAGACTTGAGGACTCTCACCAGCTGCTTTCACTGCTGTTTCCCCCAGCTCGGCTGGAGAGAGGAGGCTGTGCCCAGCCTGTGTGTCCCAGGTGTCTGGGATGTACAGAAGGGAGAGAGCTGGAGGTCCTGGGCGTTCAGCTGCCAGGGCTCTCGGTCTTTACCGGAGAGCCAGGCAGCTCCTCCCCACTGTCCAACAGGCGGCCAGGGGACAGTGTGCTGCTCCGGTGTCATGCTCTTGCTGGTGGGAGAGGGAGCCAGGCCATGACACATGCTGTACCCACATGCTCAGCCTGGGCACGAACTCCGGCCAGAAGGGCAGAACTATCAGCCGGGCCAAAAGGGACCTACCCACCTGCCCTTTGCACAACACGGCCCGGCCCCTCCCAGGAAAGAGCCTTGGGGCTGCAGAAACCACCAGAGCCAGCACCCAGGACGAGTCCGGGTGCCTAGAGCCCTCCCTCCTCTCTTCCCTTCTGGCCAGCCTCTGCCCTCAATGACTTGGGCACCTTAGAACAGTTTGCCAGGATCCCTGACAGGAAGTACGCAGTGGAGAGGGCCGAGCACACTTCTGCCAGAAACTCTGAAACAACAGACATGAAACCGCTCAGAGGGAAGAAGCCCCGCCCTGTCCCCGGAGGGTGGGACACACCCGGGAAGGGGGACAAGCCTTCCTCGTGCCCTTCTGGAGGGGTGGGTTATTTCTCCCCGGCGAGGAGGAAGCACCCACAGGAGAGGACGAGGCCCACAGGCGTGTACTCCGGGGGAAGCTGTGCACCGGGACCTGGGCTCAGCCCTTATCATAGCCTGTGCCTAGGGCAGGCTGAGCCGGGCATGGGCACCCGCCCAGTCCTGGGCTCTGTGGCCAAGCTGCGGATCCCTGGGGAAATGAGGCCAGGACACCTGGGAGACATGGTCCCTTCTCCGTTCCACCGGTCCACCTGCCAAAGACCTTTCATGAAGCGAGGCTGCCTGGAGCTCGGGGAGGCAGCAGGGAACCAGAGAAAGCGAGCTCCTGCCCGACTGCCCAGCCTCCAGGATAGATCTGCTTCTGAAGGCCACGCGTGATCCAAACGTCATCCCCAGGCTCCAATTGTGTTAGCCTAACCGGCTCCCGCTCAGTCCACAGTGGCTGTGGGGTGGTGGGCACCCTGAACCACCCCGCTGCCGCCCAACTGCTGGCTCCTGCTCAGTCCACAGTGGCTGTGGGGAGGGGGGCGCCCCCACACCACCCCCCCGCCCCCCGCCTCCT